AGCCCAGCCCAGCCCAGCCCAGCCAGCTCCAGCTCGCGCTTCTGGATCTATCGCCCAACACGTGGGGGCTCTTTTTCCGCGGCGGAAACTTTCGAGGGATACTTGCTGCCAACTTGGACACACGCGCTCGGTGACAGCGGCGTGGGACTCTCGCGGGTGGCGGAATCTAACCGCGCGGATCCAGGCGCCCTTTCCGGGCAGGGGGGTGTGCCTCTCTTCCTTCTCCCGCGATCGGAATCCCGCTCCCACGTTTCTGACTCTCCGGTGCTCCGGGCATTCGCTCCCCGCCGCCGCTCCCTTTTCCTAGCGCAGAAAAATGTGGCCAGCGAGCCTTTTTAACGATCCAGCTCTGGTTTTCCTGAGGGGCGGGAGCTCACCCCACCCGTGCCTGCCGTACCTCCTAGTTTTTGTGCCGTCCAGTGTAACTCAAGAAGACCTGGCAAGGACGAGGGAGGCCAAGCAAGTTAAATCCACAGGAACGCGCCGGGGTTGCTCGCCGTCCCCCCTGACAGAAGGTAAGCAGGGAGGGGAAGGACTGACCGGCCGACTACGCACGCGTGTGCTCGTAGCTCCTTTGCAATGGTTCAGATCTTGTCAGTTTCATCGTGCTGACGGGCTGGGTCAATCGGGGGCCCTTTAAATCTCCAGGCTTGGGGGGGATCAATCTTGGGCGCGTTCGATCGAACCCTCCGAGCGGACATCTTTTCCTGGGGAGCCGTTCGATTGCCACGGTGGGCAGGGCGGTCTCTCTTGCAAGCGGTCGGGTGGCGGGGCGCAGGTTCCCCGGGCAGACACGAAGCCGCCTTTCCACACGTTTCTGCAGACCGTCCCTTCCCTTCCCTTCCCTTCCCTTCCCTTCCTTTCCTTTCCCCTTCCCTCCGCACCCCCCCCCACCCCCGCCGGAGAGCTGCTCGTGTCAGCATAATTTTTTCCTTTTTCTTTCTTAAGGCGCGTTTCCTAAGTGGGAGAAGCTAGTTAGCAATTAAGGTGCACTTGGCTTTTAAACAGGCCAGCGAACCAAAACGCACTAAAGTGAAACGCTTTTAAAGCAACGTTATTAACGTGCTGCTGGAAAGGATTTGTAGCTCCCCGACTGTGTGTGTGTGTGTCCTTTTTTTCAATCATTGTAAGAAGCAACGGTTTCTTTTTAAGCCCTGGCGAGGCTTTCTCCGGACGAGCAGCTGGGAGTTTGGGGCTGGGTCTTTGCGGGCGAGATGAGAAGTTTCTGCCTTCAACTGGCCTACAAAGTCCCAGTTCTCGGCTCTTAACTTTGCGCTGCGGCTGGGCGATACTCTTGAGTGGAGAGGACAGACGCGGGCGAGCGAGCCAGCAGCCGAAAAGGAGTTTCTGTGGTCGAGTGTGCGGGGAGGGTCTGGGGTCGGCGAAATAATTCCTCCCGCCTCGGAATGCTCTTTACGAATGCAGCTCTCCAAACGTCGTTTTCTTTCCCCCGCTATACACACCCACTGCAATTGATATTTCCCAATACGAAAGGAAGCACCAGGCAGTATCGATCCCTCGATGCAGCCCAAATGGAGCCCTGGAAGGTCGCGTCCCTTTTAGAGGAAGCACGTGCTTAACTTTTCCTTGTGAACAGTCCCGGGTTCCTAGCAGAAATTAATTTTTCTCTGGGTTGGTAAATTGTGATAGGCCTTCATACAAATTCAAGAACATACAGAACAGATGCTGACCTTTTTTATAGATAAACTGATGGATAAATACGTGTCCCAATATTGATTTTAAAATTTAGGTAGAAACCAGACTTGTTGGAAATACATTTAATGCAACCAACTGAATATTATTGGCAATTCGCTTTCGTGTGTGTGCTTGAACTGAAGTTTTCCATCTTTTTCCCATGTTCACATGAAATGTATTTTTATGTCTCCCAAATTTGCAAGTCATTGTAACCAAGTCTGGTTCAGGGCCTTAAATCAAGTGTGCCAATATTTGTTTTCTCTTTTTCCTTTTTATGTTCCTTTAGCTTTTTTAAAAAATGCAATTTTTTTCCAAGAAAAAAAAATAGATAATCGTAACTGGAAATAGTATGGGTATTACTGAATATCGTATTGTTTGTAAGTAATGTTTTTTAAAAAGTCTTATTTATCAAGCAATAAGGCAGCTTTTGAAAACATACAGTCAGTATTCCTAACAGCTGTGATTCTTTGGTTTATATAAATGATGTAGGTCTGGGGAAAAAACTAAATTAAGGCAACATTTTGCCTTAATACATACTGTATTCTGAAAAATAGATGTTATTTGATTTACATACATGTCGCAGTGTGGAAAGCCTTTAAGTAAAAAAGCATTATAAGCAAAATTCTTGTTAAAGAGAGAAAAATAATAGCCATATAATTTCAGGGTATACATATCAGTCAGAAGTAAATCTAATACAGTTTAGTAGGAATTACTTCTAAGTAATTGTGTGTAAGACTCTAGCTTTTAAAAGTTTATTCAAATGTTAATAGGTGGGAGTTATAAATAAACACATTAACTATTCTTTCCATAAATAATGTGAACTTTATGGTGTAATTGTCCTATATTCCCATAAGACTTAACCACATTATAGTACGCTCAGTGGTGTATAAATCTTTCTAGTGATGGATTTTGATAAATTCCTTTTAAAACAGTCTGACAACTTTCCATTTTAAAATTTGTTTACAGGGAATGAAAAGCACAGCTCTTTTCTTAGAGCTGTGTCTTTATACACTTCATTCAGATTACACAACAATCACATTTGTACCCATCTGCCTGTTGATATGGGCATATTCCATCTCCAGCCTACACCCCATTTCACTAATAAAATAAATCCATCTCCCTCCACTAAGTCATAGCAACCATTTATTTATTATGACCCTACATATTGATAAACATCAATTAAAACTATTATTAAAAGAGGGCTTAGTTCAACACAGGTTTAAAGAGGCATTTAGTATTAATTGGGAATATAAATACAGATATAGTGACTTCACAAAAATTTGAAAGCCAACTGGAAGGTGGGGAATATTTTAACTTTTATGGCCCTAAGACGTCAACCAAGGTTTCATTTAAGATAGAGATCAGGAGAAGCAACTCTGCTTTCATTATATATGTCTGTCTTCTGAATTAAGAAATCATTCACGTAATTCTAAATGTACACACTTGTCATTGAATTCTGTGGACATTTTGAAGTGATAGTTCAGTTAGGATCATGGTGCTAAATTTTAATCCATAGTTTGGAATTTAACATTCTTGTAATAGAATCACGTCAAAGATGTGAAGCCCAAGTAAATATGAAGCAATTTTAATGCCATTTGTTATTTTTCTAAAGGGTTCAGTTTTGGTATTTTGCATTGCTACTATATTTGTTAAAATGATTTCCACTAAGAAGCAGAATTATTGGTATTTCTGTTGTAAAATTTCTCTGTTTCATATACAGAAATTCAGAAGGCTTTTAGGAAATGTTACTTAACTACTTAAAACTGTGGCTGTACAGTCCAGCAAGCTAAAAAATCCAAATGAATTCTGTGAGATTTGATCCACTTGCTAGTTGAGTACATGAAGAATTTCAAGTGTCCGTTTGGGCCTTGTCATATTTTCGTAGAAATATTCTTAGAAACTATTTCAGATCAGCTTTTTCTCTAAAGAAGTATGCAAGGCGCAATCCTATGTAGGTTTATTTGGGTATGAATTCTGCTCAGTCCAGGGGAATTTAACATCTAATTTAAATTTAACAGGCATAGGATCAAACCTCTGTGGTACAGTCCTCAGAAAGAAACTCTAATCCTGTTCTCTGAGACTTAACTTCTAGATAAGTGTAGAAGCTTGTGCAGGCTTAAGTCAATGTCACTCTTTTTTTCAGTTAAAAAAAAAGTTCAGTAGGATTGCATGGTAAATGTGATTTTACTTTACTTTTAAAGTTACTTTGCTAGCTTTTTTCCTGCACTAGAGGGATAAGTTTAATATATTAAAAACAATCACATATATCATTATTTTATTTATCTTTTTATGTCCTATATTAGCTTATTAATTGCCCTTTGCAGCTAATAAGCAGTAGCTATATTTACTTAAATAATAAAAATCCTACTATTCCAGATCTAACCAGATCAGAGCCAAAGTAAGAAATATGTTTTATATTTATGTGTGTGTGTGCATTCATATTCATTCTATATAATATCTCCCAAACCCTAATTATTTAAGGACACATTTTCCATTAAGGCAAACGTATCTTCTTTCAGACCTAAATATTTTCCATCATACGATAAATCTGAGTGGAGGAAAATCTGTTTGCCTTGAGAAACAAAACAGATTTTTTTTTTTAATTTGTTGTTGCTTATTGCAGGAGGGATCTCATTGTGTAGGAAACACAATTTCCATTTCTAGTCTCCAGCCTTTGCTTTTTAGGCACTAAATAGGAAAACTATATTTACAATGCTGTCCAAAATTACTAGATCGCTCCACATTGCTCCCATTACATTTTTCTATGTTAGTTTCATCACTTAGCTCTTACATGAAGTAGATGTGTGAGCTCAGGGGGGAGGAGAGGAAATGCGCTCCCTTGGGGGCACTTTTGTCCAATTGTCACTGAATTTTCTATTCTAAATTCTCTTAGAGCAATAGGAGTAGCATTTCTTGAGTAAGTCTCCTAGCACAGCTATGGAAAGAAAAGGATCTCTTCGAGAGTGCTCCTTCTTCTGCTAGGCCAACGCCCATCAAAAGTATGATGGCATGATCTAGCACACGGTGACGCGTACTTGAGTATTTATTAAAATTAAATGTAAATTTGTACTGGATTGCAATCCAAACATTTTGTAGGTGTTCCTGCATATGCTGAAGTTGATTTGTTTCATGAAAGAGTGTGTGACTGAAAGAGGTGTGAATGCAGAGTCCTTGGTTAAGAGTGCTATATATGTCTATGCAGGAGAAAGGTCCAAAGACTTTAGAAGGACTCACAGATAATTCTCCAGGCTTGTGTCCTACGGTTGCCATCCTTTGCATACTTCTCTGGAAGCCCATACGCTGCATTTATACTGCAGGGGTTCCGTAAGAAATAGTGTGAATAGGATTTTTAAAACTCTGTGATAGCCTCAAAGGAAGGCTGCTTTGGGGGATACCAAAAGGACTGTCCGAGCTCCATCTGCATATTCGCTGGAACTCTGGAAGATTAATAATGGTGTGTATTTCACTTGGATGCTTCAGTCTTCGGCTTACATATTCCCTGATCTCTCTGGATTTTAATAGGATGGTTTTTAAGTAAGCAGGCTTTCAATCACAGTTTTCTTTCAGTATCTTTTTGTTATATTGCAGTTGCACTTCGTATGCTTTTCTTTTAAGAAACTCCAGAGATACTAGCAACAGAATAGTTCACTTCTTCTTCCTTGCCCTGTGTCACCTAAGCTATACTTAAAAAAAAAAATTGTTTTGGTTTTCCTCTAGAAATGAAAACATTGAATTTAAATATAAATTGCAGCAAAAGGGAAGAAAGTACCCCAGAAGGGGGGGGGAGACATCTGAGTCCTTTGGAGTGAGAAAACTTTGT